TTCAGTAGCTCATGAAGTAATTTGTGCAGCTGGGAGGTGCTTAGCCATGGGCCCTAACCACCTGCCTGTTCTTTTCCAGCCTTCTTTTCCCCTCAGGAAGGGACCACGAGCATCCCTGAGGTTCTCTTTCCAGAGAGGCCACAGGGTAGGGATCACTGTAGGTGGCTGTGGCCATCACATCCTTTCTGAGTCCTTCCCAGTTGATTGTCAGAGCCTTACACCCAGCACTCTTTGGGACTGGCCTTGCAGGGTGTCTTCTTTCAGAGAAAAAACTCCCTGTAACTGTGTCACATGTGACTAAGGAAGAGACTAGAAGCCAAACTCTAAATAAATGATAGCACAGCACAAGTGTTGCCACTCTATCAATGTGGTTAGTGATCCTGGGGCCAATAGCAGTCTTCCTATGTTGTTAGGAAATGTGGCTAGTAACCTAAAGATTGTCAATGAAATAAGAATTTAGGAAGAAGGAAGCTAGAAGAATGTTAGGGGTATAGTTAATCTCATCATGGAATCCATCTGTAGGAAAGAGGTATATTCATTGTGGATAATAAACCACTATTCCTTTCAACTGATGGATGCTGAGACAGAACTGTTATTACTTATCACATCTGTTATTGCTCACCACTGTATCCCCTCTACCTAGCATGTGGTTGTTATGTTTTATTTGTACAATAAAATTGTTAGTAATCTTCCCTCTTTCCATTTGGATTTTTCCAGGCTCTTATGGGTCTGCTCAGCACCGTGGAGTGGCCTTACACACCCACTCTACTCACCACAGATTCACAGTTTACATCATTGCAACATTTATACAAAATCCTTATCGCATGAGTTTTCTAGTTGTCATAATAAATTCCCACAAATTCAGAGACTTGAAATAACAGATTTATTGTCTCATAGATCTTTAGATCAGAAGTGAGACATGGATCTCACTGAGCTAAATTTTAGATGTTGCAGGCCGCATTCCATTCTGGAAGCTGAAGGGAAGAATCTGTTTTCTTGGTGTTTCAGATTGTTGACAGAGTACAGTTCCCTGGAATTTTAGAATTAAGGTCACAGTTCCTCCTTGGGCATTAGCTGAGGGCTGTTCCCAGCTCTAAAGGCTGCCACACCCTGGCTCCTAGCTCCCTCCTTCATCTTCAAAGCAGCAACAAAAGGTTGACTATTTCTCAATCTTGGCTTTTTCTTGATTCTTTTTCTATTTTATCTCTTTTGACTCTTCTGCCTTCTACTTTAAGTACTTGTGCTATTTGAGACTGAGTCCACCCAGACAAGTCAGGATAATCCCTCTACTTTAAACCAAACCTTAATTCAATGTATAAGAACCACTTTGCTGTGTAACATATCAGACCCAGAAGTTTTACAGGGGCTGTTGTTGGGACGTGAGAGGATGGGAGTCCTATTCAGCCTACCACACGTGTTTAGGAAGTGATGCCAGGAAACATAAGCACAGAAAGAAAATTAGTCAAAGAAGGGAAGGACCCAGTTATATAAGAAATGGCATTAAGCATTCATTAATGAGTTATTAACAGTGTGGACAACTTGGCTGAATTCTACCCAGAATTCTAAGAAATATGAAATTTGGGGATATAACAGAATCTTCCTAAGACCTGGGGATGGGGTGGGAGGGGAACATTCACATCTTGCATCCTCCTGTTCTTTAATGATTGGAGGTTTCCTCTTAGGATCAACTCTGATGCAAGGGCTGTGTATCACTGATGTTAGAGACAGCCCTGAGGCAGAGGAGAAGAGAGGCAGACACCTTAGATCAGAAGTAGTGATCCTTGCAGGAAACCATCTGCCTCAGTTATTGGTGAGAGATGCCAAGAGAACAGATCCACAGCATCTGTTCTCAGGACTCTGCTTCTGAGAATATAGTGAATATACTGTCAAGATCTATTTGCCCTCCCTTCAGCCCACTCATTCATTCACAAGTGACCTCCTGTCTTCCAATACATGTCCCCATCACACTACCTTTCTGCTTCACCGCCTAGATTTGATCTGGGGTGGTCCTGTAGCCCAGGCCAGGTCTCCTATTGATTTTGTTATGTTAAAGAGGTTCTGATGGCCAGTGTGAAGCTGAAATTTTCTTCAAAGCAAAAGATTTCATAATGACTCAGTGGCCAATCAATAATGCTCATATTCATAGTTTATTGTGAGATATTTGCACACATATTCACACATTCACAAGGCAGTTATTAAAGTCAGTAATTTGGGGGGTAATGAACAATGGTGGAACATGGAAGTCTACTGACACAGGAACTCAAATGAGTCTGGACATCTCTCAGGTGCCAATCAGCAGGGCAGTGGCTATTCCTCTCTGGCAGAGCTATCTTAGCACAAGTTGCCAAATTCAAGAGGAGTCTTTTGGAGTCAGGTACCCAGATTGTAAAAGTATCCTGGGTCATTGCCAGGCTCTTGCTGTTTTTACAGTTATCAGCACCTGTGCTCATTATCCTTACCCCAGTCAATGGGCCTTGCTTGGGAGCAGGTGTTATCTCATCACCTTACACTATTACACAGATTTTGAAGACAAACAACTTTACTATGAGCTCTGTATACATACATTTATCACTGTAAAGAAAAATAATTTTACTCTGAAGGCTTAATGCCTAATATGATTGATTCCCTTCTGAGGTATTGGGATTACAAATCATAATTATTAATCTAGAGGCTACAGGACCTCCCCCAGTTACTCCTATGAGAGGAGTGCATGAGAGTTGTGAATCTTCCATTCACAGTCAAAAGCCAAGAAAGGTAGACAGTGGAGACAGGAGACCAGCACAGATTAGAAGGCTTCAAGATGGAAAGAATTTGATCCTTTTTCTTGTCTTCTGTTCTTTTGGGGTCCCAGTATCATTTCTACTGTGTGTTCTGTGAAACTTCTTCTCTTAAGGCAAATGTACTAGTTAATATTTATGCAGTCCTGGACATTTGCAGCTTATACAAGTACTGTACTATGTTCATTGATTCCATTTGGAATATGAACAGGGCAGAGTCGGAATGGTTTTTCTGTGTGTCAACATGTCTAGGCCTCATCCGGAAGGACTTTATGTCTGGTGATACTCAGAGGAAGAGACTCAGCCAAATTGCCTTTACCCATTGCAGTTTATTGCAAAGCAAAAGAGAATTAGTCAGTGTTCAGTCTTGATGCATGTATACTAGATCCACACAGAGCTATGTTGAAGTGACCCTTTCTCTGTGTTTATCCCTCCCATGACAGAGAATGTCTGGGTCAAGTTGTCACTATGTCATCTGATACACACAAGGAGGAACTGACTTCCTGCTAACCTAGCTCATTGTCCATTGTTCTTTTCCAAGCACATTAGATTCCCTCTGGTTCACACTGATATCAGAATTTCATTCTTCAGTAGGTTCTTGGGCTCGGTGATTCGAAGAACTAATCCTTGGACCACAGATCAGTGGTAAGACAGGATTTATTTACAGAAAAGAATACAGAAGTGCCAGAACTCTTGGCAGAGAGAAAACTGGAGTCAGGAGAGAAAAGTGCTCTCTCTCCTTCTCTGTCAGTCTGTAGGCTCTTTGTCTAGGGGTGTATATATATATATATTAGTCCCATGGGGTCCTGGACAGTTACATTTAGTGGGGCTAGGTAGTTACATTTGGTGTGTCTGTGACATCTGACTGTCTAGAACAACATGCTACATTTCTGTCTGTCTGGAACAACACGTTACATTTAGCATATCTGTGATGTCTGTCTGTCTGTCTGGAACAATGTGTTACATTTAGCATGTCTGGGACATCTGTCTGGCTTGCAAATTAATGACTACAATCCTTTTTAGTCCCAGGCCTAGGAAATGGGGACCCCCTGCCCACCCTCCAGCCTGCTGGTTCTGCTGCTTGCTGCTACCGCACCAACATTGCCAAGGTGGAGGCAGCTGGTCTGTGCCTCCCAGCTCCAGGAGCTGTCTGGGATTCCACTTGTCCTGCATCAACATCAGCTTGGTAGGGTTAGAGGCATAGCTTATGTACATGCTTCTGGCACAAGCTACCTCAGGAACTGTGGGGCTTATTTCTTCCAATAGAAAATCTGAAGGCAGATCTGAACCGGGCTGTCCGGGCTCTCAGTCCTTAATAGCCCTCTCTTCTGTTCTTTCCCAATAGCAGCCCAGTCCTCAGTGGAATTACCCAAGAATTACATTTCTTTGACTCTTATTAGCCTCTCCATCCAAAATCCATTTTTGAGTGTAATTCCGAAGCATTAGTTGGCGGGTGAAACTGTTGTATGAGAAAGTTCAGGGGTCAGTAAAATAGAAAAGACTGGAATTAGAAGGTAATTGAGGCTTCCAAAGGAAGCATTCAGCACTTAGAGGAATATTGACAACTGTTCTTCAGAAAAATTATTCTGAAACATATCTGTACAATTACAGTATTTTAGTCTGTGATGGGCATGTTGGGGAGGTAGAAAGTAAGTGTCAAATCAAATGTTGCCAAAGGGTGAAGGCCAACTGGAACATCTTCTGAAATTCCACCTTCTGTCCCCATTAGGATCTCATCTCCCTGAAGGAAAGGATTTTTGACTCTCCCTCTGTATCCTCAGCAACTTTTCTACCCAATAATTGTTGAAAAGCTACTGTAGCTGTTGTCTCTCTTCCCTCTTTCTCCCTCCCTGCCACTCATGTCTGCTTCCAGCACTCCCCTTCCCTCCCAGCCTCCAAGCCTCCAAACCTAGCAGCTTGAAGAAGACCAGTGCTTGAGTGAGAGCGCCACCCCCACACCTTTACATAGACCTCACCTTCTGAGCAGCAACGCCACTAAACTGCCGAGACTCTTAAGGCTTTGCAAAAAAAAAAAAAAGAAGAAGAAGAAGAAGAAGACGAAGAAAGAAAGAAAAAAAAGAATAACAGAGAGAAATGTTTCTTGCTTTTGAAGAAAGAAAAGGGAAATTAAAAAGACGCAATATTCTCAAAAGTTTATTTGCTAGTTGCGATTTGTTTTTGTGCTTTCCACCTAGTAACTGGTGAGAAATAAGGCTCCAGGAAACCATTGGCTGGCTGACCCACAGCCGGCCAATCCTGGGCACGGAAGAGTTCATTGGAAATCTTGGGACTTTGTGGACACGCGGGACACCAGATACGAGCTCCCAACGTCGCAACTAATGCGAGGTGAAAAAATTTGCTCTTCTCTTCCGAGTCTGTTTGTTCTCGAGTGTTGCCTGTGCTCGTGAGCGGGTTGGAGAAAAGAGGGACGACTGGAAAATCATCATTTGGGAGGTCAAAGGAGAAAAGAAAATACAGAGGTTAAATCTAGAAGGTAAGAAAGGAAGGTGTAGGGCTGCAGCTTTGAGATGGGTGAGGCTGGAGGGGGAACCGAATGGGCTATGGGGGGAGGCAGAGGCCACCTTTGGGGAGGTACGGCCATGCCTGGCCTTAACTCAGGTTGCCCTCCTGGTTCATCAAAAGGTGGAAGAGAAGAGAGGGAGGGTGCAGAAGAATATCAAGTGACAACTGAAGAAACTGAACTCTGGCTAGAGAAGTGAGCCCAAGAGGGTGGATAACTGCCTGCCTGGTGGTTTTATTGTTGACTTATTTCATAGAATGCTTAATGAATCCTTTTATTGAGAGGTACTTGGAACCTTAGGAAGAAGGGATGCCCAAAACAAAAGTTGGGGCGCTGATGAGAACAACATAGGTGACCGGAATGTTTGAGCTATATCAGAATAGTGATGTCAAATCTCCTTGGCTGAATCTACCCCTCTGTACCTCTAGGCCTGTGGTCCCTGCCTGTGCTGGGTGACTATGTTCTTGGTACTTACGGAGCCGGCTGCCTCCCTGCACTTCTCCCTGCCAGCTTCCTTTCTCCTCCCCATCCTCAGCCTGCTTGCACTGGTGTCGGGTAGGGATGCATGCCATTTGCTGCTCTCAATTATCAGAAAGCAACTTCAACACTAAGTGTATGGAGGGGAAGAAGGACTGTGATAGTTTTGACTCATCCTTTCATTCCGCGTGTGTTCAGTGCACTGATAGTAGTGCTGTCCAGTAGGCATACAGTGAGAGCTACAAAGTCTAGGTCTATATACGATTGCAAATTTTCAAAAAAAAATTTTTTTTTACTTTTTACAACATGAAATGAATTTTCATAATTTATCTTGTTTTATCCCTATAATGAAACATTAATATTTAAATGCTTGGTTAATGCAAAGAATTACCAGTGAGATATTTAACATTTAAAATTTTTTAATCTTTAATATTCTGCATATAATTTTAAACTCACAGCTTGACCAATTGGAATGAGTTAGTGGGTATCCTTTTGGACAGCTTGATTTATACTACCTTCAGGCACTGTGCTAGACTGGGGGATAGAGAAAAAACGTTCTCGGGACACAGGATTTGTAGAGGGTAGTCAGGATGAGTGCTTCAGTGTTTGTTCAGGAGACATTAGCACCCTCAATAGCTGTTGCTTCAAGCCACAGCTACTAGTTCCCACAGTTCTCAGCCTAGAAAGCTTCTGTAGCCTTGGAAAGAATTTTTCAATGCCTGGACCATCCACTTCCTTTCCTGACTTAGATATTTGATGCCTGAAGTCCCTGTGTGATTCTGCTCCTTTGTTGAATAGCCCAGTTTACTGTCAAGGGACCGGCTGATCCAATCCTGACCATGGTGGGAGAAAACATCACGTTACACTGCCACCTGTCCCCAGAGAAAAATGCTGAGGACATGGAGGTGCGGTGGTTCCGGACTCAGTTCTCCCCAGCAGTGCTGGTTTATAAGGGTGGGCGAGAAAGAACAGAGGAGCAGATGGAGGAGTACCGAGGAAGAGCCACCCTTGTGAGCAAAGACATGAGTAGAGGCAGTGTGGCGCTGGTCATCCACAATGTCACAGCCCAGGACAATGGCATCTACCGCTGTTACTTCCAAGAAGGCAGGTCCTATGATGAGGCCATTATGCACCTCAAAGTAGCAGGTAGGTCACTTCATTTTCCTTTATTACTGTTTCACAGTGTGACTTTTTAGGGAAAGTTTCTCAGTCAATCTTAAGCCCTTGCAGACCAAAATAATTTTGCCTGAAATCCCCTTTCCACACGAGAGACTCAGGGTCAAATGAGTGAGTTTGCCATAAAAAACTGTGAACACCACTTCTTGAGAAGCATAGTTAGAATTCATCTGTGGCCTTGAATAGGAGAGTCTGGTTAATCCAAGAAGATAATTCCTAAACCTCTTTTATCATTGAAACTGTGCACTTGTGAGAGTGAGAGGAGGCACTGTCAATAATTGTGCTTGTGTAACTGGGATAAACAAGGACAGCCCAGATAATTACAATATATGGACATCTCATTTCTTCATAAATATTAATACTGCTTTTTTCTCCTTTCCCCAATTGATTGCAGATAGAGTGACTTATATGTAAATAGATTTTTTTTTAAGCAAAACTAAGAACAGGGGCAAAGATATACACTAAGCGGTAACCCTTGCAGAGAAATTGAGTAAGAATTTGGGAGGGAGTAATTTAGCAAGGCTTCAGCATAGCAGTATATTTAAATGGGGGTTATAGCAAGGCCCAGTGGCTCACACCTGTAATACCAGCACTTTGGGAGGCCAACTGTGGAGAATTACTTGAGGTCAGGAGTTCCAGGGAAGCCTAGGTAGCATAGCATACCCTGTCTCTACAAAAAACTAAAAAATTAGTTGAGAGTGGTTGTGTGCCTATAGTCCCATCTAGGCAGGAAGATCTTTTGAGCCCAGATTCAGAGGCTGCAGTCAGCTTTGATGGTGCCACTGAACTACAGCCTGTCAATAGAGTGAGGCCCTATATCTACCAAAAATATAAATAAATAGAAAATAAATTGGAATTTCTAAGAGTTTATTAAAATGACTTTAAGGGATGACTGCACACCTGAGGTCAGTGTATTGTGCTTTAAAAGAAACATTTGAAGATTGGAATAGCCTTTAAAACACAGAAGACTATCTGGTGGCATTTTAGTCTATCTTTAGTTTATCGTACCAATAGAGTTGGGGAGAGTATGTCCTTCCTAGGGAGCCTCAAACCGTAATTTGCATGAGATCTTACCTCTGTTCAGTAACAATCTTGTAACTGATCAAATGAAGACACCACAAAAAGGAGAGTTTTATGACCCTTGTGTCCTCACTGCCCATAGCAGCACTGCACAATCCTGTTACTGGTTCAGGTGTGGCAGGAACCCTGGATTCTTTCCATATAAACATGAACCTGGCTTTTGACTTCACACTCTGAATCGGAATGTTAAAGGTTTTTTTTCTTGGTTTGTTAATTGTTTATTAGCTGGTTTGGTTCATTTGGTTTGCTGGCTTATTTTGTAAGTCCTATGCTTGTGCTCACTGAACCTTGTGAGATATTTTACACAATTTTATAGCTTAGTAATTTTAATTGTTATTCTATGTCAAGGTTTACGTGTAAGCCTTTAAATGTACAACTGATTCTTTTCTCTCTTGATGAAAATTAAATTGAGCCCAAAGCAATAGATTTAAGTGATTGCTTTAATTTCTTGTCTTTAGTATAATTTTCTGAGAAGGTTTTACAGAGGAATTATTCAAAAGAACTTTCAAAGATCACATGTTGCTAATGGGGGGAATCACTCACTATGAGAAATTTGCAGACTTCTCAGACTTGGTATTCAGTATTGTGGAAGATAGTTTTAAAGATTTAATTTAGTTAAGGTGAGTCTATATTCTGAGGATTTTTGATGATTTTCTAATATTGAAGAAATGGTATTGTTATCTTAAGGATCCAGACAGCATCCAGACTTTTCTAATGCAGTGATGTTCTCAAAAGACTGTAAGAAAATTATAGCTTCTGGGAGACAAATATCTGTGAATCAGGATCAGGGTTGGCTTTGGTGGCTAGCTTTGTCCATTCTCCTAAAAACCATTACTTCATATAGGTAGTAAATACCTATGGTGTTATGAAGCCCAGAACTGGACAGAAAGGACAATGTCTTTAGTTTGAAAAATTTGTTTTGATTATGTCAGCCTGGCAGGTTTCTGTGTTGTGTTATTCTAGAGCAGGCGTCTGCAAACTATGGCTCGCAGGCCACATGCTGCTGGCATAGGACATTCATCCGGCCCGCCAGGTGTTTTTACCTCCGCTGCCTGTCCTGCTTAGCAGCCGACTCATCCTGGGGCCCTCAGTCCAGCCCTCCAATGGTCTGAGGGACAGTGAACTGGCCCCCTGTTTAAAAAGTTTGAGGACTCCTGTTCTAGAGCTTCATGAAACCAAGGTTTCTTGAGAAGCATTTTTTTTTTTTGGAGACAGAGTCTCACTATGTCACCCTTGGCAGAGTGCTGTGGTGTTACAGCTCACAACAACCTCAAACTCTTGGGCTTAAGCAATTCTCTTGCCTCAGCCTCCCAAGTAGCTGGGACTACAGGTGCCCACCACAATGCCCAGCTATTTTTTTTTCCTTTATTGTAGTTGTCATTGTTTAGTAGGCCCGAGCCAGGCTCGAAACTGCCAGCCCCAATGTATGTGGCTGTAACCACTGAGCTATGGGTGCTGAGCCTATTGAGAAGTATTTTTAAGTAAAAAAGTGAAATCCTCAGTCTGCCTGCTTCAGGTTGTACTGGAAACACCCAGTTGGAAGTGAGAAAATTAGTTTTTGTCAGAATAAATCTAGCAGCAAGCAGTTATGGCAGACAGACAGATGCTTATTGCTGTGATGGGGTCTGTAGGTGGAGAACAGGGAAGAGTGTGCAGTGTAATTCTTTTGTCTTAGAGATCTCAGATTTATTTGGCATATTGGTCTCCTAGTGTTCTCAAACATCAAGGTTCTTTCCTCCTTCATGCTTCTTGCTCTGTCTTTTTCTTCCTTCATTCCTCCCTTCACAGAAAAGGCTTAGTAGAGGCTGAGACACCTCTGCTTTGTAGCTAACCCCTGGCCTTCCTCCTTAGGTCTGGGCTCTCAGCCCTTTGTTGAAATGAAGGGACATGAGGATGGCGGCATCCGGCTGGAGTGCACATCTGGAGGGTGGTATCCAGAGCCCCTGGCAGTGTGGAGAGACCCTTATGGTAAGGATGTACCTGCCCTGGAGGAGGCTTACACTGCTGATACAGACGGCCTCTTCCTGGTGACCATAGCTGTGATCATCAGAGACAGCTCCGTGAGGAACATGTCCTGCTCTGTCAACAACACCTTGCTCGGCCAGGAAAAGGAAACTGTGATTTTCATTCCAGGTTAGTTCTCTGCCCTTTGGAGACTCATGGTGTGGAGGTGGGATCCTCAGCCTACCGGTAGATCCCCAGGTGATGATGAGAAGAGGGCAGGAATGTGTGTTGAAGAGTCCTTGGCCCTGAGGAGCTGCTAGTTATACCTGAGCTGGTCCTTTCCTCTTGTCAGAAGAGAAAAAACCAGAGAATCTCCAAAGACATGAGTAACAATCTCTTTTCTAAAGGTTAATCTCATCTTTTTTTTTCTGATAAGGTTCTTGTGATGCAACAATTTTTAAACAGTAAGAACAGTCCTAAAACATGGAGAATAATTAGCCAGATATGATGGTAGGCACCTATAATCCTAGCTATTCAGGTGGCTGAGGCAGGAGGATCACTTAAAGCCTAGGATTTGGAGGTTAAAGTGAGCTATGATCATACCACTGTACTTAAGCAGGAGTAGCAGAGCCAGACCTTCCCCCTGCCCAACAAAAGAAACAAACATGGAGAATAGTATCTATGGTCTCCATTTGCATGTGATGGTTCTGTCTGCCAAAACCCTCCATTTCTACCCATAGGAATTTTTCAAGGACAGAGCTAAGGAAATTCCCCACCTATGCACATTGATAATTCATGCAATAAATACACAAGAAGCATTTCATATATTCTAGACACCATTGTACAAACCAAGCATAAATCATTGGAGATGCCTTTATGGAGTTGACATTCTAGAGAGGAAGAAAGCAATACATGAAATAGTTAATTTAAGTGATTCAACAACTAGTTAAATGTGTATTATATCAGAGGGTGATGAGTATGTAGGAAAAATTAAGGAAGGAGGGAACAGGGAGTGCCAGGGCCATGGGGTATGGTGATTATTACCAGGATGGAAAGGGAAAACTTTGTTGTAAAGACGGGAATTGAGCAATCAAGGAGTTAAACCAAGCAGTTACTTGAGGACCAAGCAAGCCGGCTAAGAAGAATAGTTTATGCTAAGGGCCTGCAGTAGGGACATGTCTAGTAGTTTCACAGAACCCCAAGGGTCTCTGCTAGTATTGCTGAAATGGAGTGAGTGCAGGGAGATGAATTCACAGCAACAATAAGGCCATATTGTATGGGGCAGCACAGGCTGCAAACAGACTTTGCCTTTTACTCTGAGTAAGATGGGAAGCATTCTGTGGTTATGAATAAAGAATTAATATCATCTCAGGCTGCCCTGCTAAGAAGAGACTACAGGTGTTAACAGCAGAACAAGGAGGGGGCATTATAATATTCCAGGCAAGAGTGACAGTGGCTTGAACCAGGGTGGTGGCTATGCTGATTCAGCACAGCCGGTTAGCTTTATTCTCCCTGGTCCTGCCCATGGTGACTCCTCCAGATGTTTCTGGTTTTCTATCTCCTGGGCCTCAGCACTGGCTTTCAGAGGGGTCAGCCAGTGTGGAGTCAGCATCACTTGCTCCATCTGGGATTTGTGAGGAGAAAGTGACAGAGCAGGCACCCGAGGAAGCTCTTCAGATGTGCTCCTGAGAGGCACTCTCACATTGGGTCTTCTGTTTCTCACAAATGGACTTTTCTGGTTGTCTTTTCAGAATATTTCACACCCAGCATATCTCCAATAGTTGTGATCCTGGCTGTCATCCTGCCTATTCTCACCATCCTTATGGCCGTGAGCATGTGTTGCATCAAGAAACTCCAGAGGAAAAAGAAGATATTGTCAGAGGAAAAGGAGGTGGAACAAGAAGAAAAAGAAATTGCATGTAAGAAACTGGGTAAAGAACATAGGTAACAAGAGAAAGAATGTCAAATTAAAGGTAAAGGGATAGGAGGACTATTCACTGACATAGAAAGGATACTCCCTGACAGGTAGCAGCTTAGGAAAAGAAAGGAAAGTTGCAGCAAGGGGCTTAGAGCTCTCAAGTCCTAGGGATTAATCACACAGAACTTTATTACTTCATTCTGCAAACATTGCGTACATTTACCTGGCACTACATCACTAAATGGTTAACCAAAGGAAGCCTCAAAATGTTCTGATACTGTCCAGTCTCTGGGTCACAAATCCCTTCTGGTTTTTGAGAGTTCCCTGGCATGGGGGAAGGGTGATGTTGGTGTTCAGAGGAAGGACAGGTCCTGCATTGCTTAATATAAGCCCAACTTCTCATAGTTCTTCTGTTGAGAACATTATTCTGTTTGTTTCTTTTTCAGGGCAACTTCAAGAAGAATTGCGTAAGTTTAGCCTTTCTTGAACTATTCAGGCACAATTTGTGTTCTGCTTGGTTAGCCTTTATCTCATGACATTGACCTCTCTGTCTGTCCCTTGCAGGATGGAGAAGAACACTCTTACATGCTGGTGAGCACTTCTGACATTCTCTCAGATCCTGACCTTTCTCCCTAGTAGCAGCCAATAGTGCTCTGGACAAGAGAAAAGCAAGGGGCCCAAGGCCGGGTGGCGACAGCTGGGGGGACGAGGCTGGCTCACCAGCTGTGTCCTGCCAATGCTTGTTCATGGCTCATCTGTCAGGGAACCCCAGGAGCTATAGAGTTTATGAACTCTATAGTTTATTTCCTATGATCTTTTCTGTTTTAGAATAATTTAGTCCACAATTACTAGAGGTCTGTGATGCATAGTAGAGCTAATAAGAGTTACAGTACTTGTTGTTCTTGGATCCTGGGTCAATTTGTAAGAAGCCTCAGCTGTCTTAGCTTTTTATATTGGGGATGGTGACTGAAGAACCATCTGGAGAAAAAGAAAAAGAAATGAGGTTCCCCAATAAGCCTGATGGTAGGGTGTCCAAATATATGACCTGAAGTGCCTCTGTGCTCCTCAGGCACTGCTATACCCTGCATGTAGCCTGCCAGGGCAGGGGGCCTGGTGAGTGGGAAAACACAGAATCCACTTGCCTACTTGTAATGAGCACTTTGAATTTTATGATTTGTCACCTTTAGCCCAGAAGTACTATAGAACTTAGCATTACCAGAGATCATGACACAAAGATCATTTGTTTTTAGGTAAATTTCAAAATTGCCTCTATGAATTTCAGACACAAATAAGTTAATTAGCATATGAACTTGGATAAAGGATTAAAACATTTTAATGTAATAGAAAGGTAGACTGAATAAGTAATAATGAACTGAATTGGGAGAGGTCTGGACTATTTCCCAGAGACTCATGTTGCAGGGTTCTCAGGCAGTAGGTTGGGAAAATATATCCTCTTCCACTCTTTGAAGGTTGTCCTTTCAATCATTTAAATCAGTTGTCACCTGGTAAAAAGAACAGAAGAGCAATGAGGACATTTTGTAGTAAGAGATTCACCTTAGTTGATTATGGGGACATGAGGAAAGCAGGATATGAAGCCTCTTTGCTGGTTTCAGCCAAGTTGGAAAGTTTCTAAATGAAGAAAGTCCCAGAGGTCATAAGTCTTACAAAGAATATAAGGCAGATCTAAGAATGCTGAGAGGAAGTAAAAATCATTAATTTTGGCTCAGGCTAAACTTTCTGGGTTTCCTAGAGCCTCCATTCTCCTCCACCTGAGGACACTTCTCCTTCACTGGAGAGAAAAAAGAGCAGCTTTGGCAATTCTCAGTCTGTGAGCTGCCTGGGATCAAGAGCCCTTCATGGAAAGCACCACCACAATCACACAGACTCCAGGTTCTTAATACTCCAGGCCTAAATTTTATACTTCCTCTGCAGCCGATGTGGTCTTGGACCCAGACACAGCTCATCCTGAGCTCTTCCTGTCTGAGGACCGGAGAAGTGTGAGACGCGGCCCTTCCCGCCAGAGTGTGCCTGACAACCCTGAGAGGTTTGACTGTCAGCCCTGTGTCCTGGGCCGGGAGAGCTTCACTTCAGGAAAACATTACTGGGAGGTGGAAGTTGAAAATGTCATGGGATGGACAGTGGGAGTTTGTAGAGACAGTGTTGAGAGGAAAGGGGAGGCCCTATTGCTTCCTCAGAATGGCTTCTGGACCCTGGAGATGTTTGAAAATAAGTACCGGGTCCTGTCCTCCCCTGAGAGGATTCTCCCTCTGAGAGAGCGCCTTTGCAGGGTGGGTGTCTTCCTGGACTATGAAGCTGGAGATGTCTCCTTCTACAACATGAGGGACAGATCACACCTCTACACATGTCCCCATTCAGCCTTTGCTGGCCCCCTGAGGCCCTTCTTCAGGCTGGGGTCTGATGACAGCCCCCTATTCATCTGGCCAGTACTCACAGGAGCCAATGGTGTCACAGTGCCTGAGGAGGGCCTGATTCTTCATAGATCACAAACCCACCACCTCCCACAAGACCAATTGCCTGGTCTCCCAGCCATGTAGGGAAGCCCTCACCCTCCCAGCTGCCACTGTCAGGGCCTCCTGGCTGAGTATAGGCCTCATTCCCTCTGGTCATATAAGCTGCTTCTTCACACCCATTTTAGGGCTCAGCCCCAGCTCTCCCCCTCATCAGGCTGTGGCTTTTTTATCTCCTCTGCTTGACTGTATAGGGAAGATCTGATGTTAGGCAGTTACTACTGTAACACAGCTGCCAGGCAAGACAAAGTGTGAAAAGATGGTGGGCAGCAAACCCGCTCCTTTACCATCAGGGTGACAGTGTCAATCCTGATACTCCCGTCAGCATCAGATATGGCGAACATGGGATGAGGGCAACATAATCCACCAGGATACAAGAAGAGGAGGGAACCACATATGGGGGTCAGAGACAGAGGAAGTGGGACCAGAGAGGTGGGAGAAAGATCAAGGTTGTAAGTGTGGTTATGTCTCACCCTGACAGCTAAAGGAGTACTTTGAGATGACAGACTATTTCCACCCAACCCCTAAGATTTCCAGACCACACACCCACAGGCTTAGACCCAGGAAGGAAACGAATGAAGGATGCAGATGCATGTTGATCTGGGCTGGCTCAGGTTTCCCTGCGATAAACAAGGTGTCAGTACTCAGTCATTGAGCATTGCTTGAGGTTTGATGTCCTGCCTGAGTAGTCAACTACTGGACCAGGTCTACCTTAGGGTTCAGGTTGAAAGGGGACAGCAGTGTTAAAGCTTTCTAGTCTCAGGATGCCTTTATATCCTTAAAAATTATTAAGTAACCCAAGGAAATTCTGTTCATTTGAATTAATATTTATTAGTATTTATGGCATTCTAGATTGAAACTGAGAAAATTTTCTAATTATTTATGAATTTACCTTAAATAACATTAACAAAAAATATAAATACAAGTAGCATATTTTATGAAAATAACTATTATTTCCATGCAAAATAAATTTATTGAAAAGTATGACACTGTTTAATGTTTTGCAAATCTAATGTCTGGTTTAATAGAAGGTATCTGTATTTTCATACCTCCTCTTGTATTAAATTTTCTGGAATATCATAGGTAATACTAGCCTAAGAAAACTTTACTAAAATAGTGTCTACCTTGTGGATCTTTAAAAATATATCTAACATCCCCCCTACTCAGGAATTCCCAGACTATATTTAAGAACTGGAATAGACCTTGAAAGTGAATCAGTGCAATGGTTAATTTTAGATGTTAACTTGACTGCATTAAGGGATACCTAGCTATCTGGCAAAAAATTATATCTCCGTGTGTCTAGCAGGGATGTCCTGAGTACATTAGCAGGTGAGTCTGCAAACTGAGTGGGTAAGACCTGCCTTAAGTGTGTGTGGGTCACATATCTCAGCAAGGGGCCCTATAGAATAAAAAGTCAGAGAATGGGAATTCTGTCTCCCCCACTCCCCACCCCGCTTTCTGGAGCAGGGTCACTCTTTTTCTCCTGTTCTTGTACATCAGAACTTCAGGCTTTCCAACATTTAGACTTCAAGACTTACGCCAAACTCCTGGATTCTCAGGCCTTTGGCCATGGACTGAGAATTAAACAAATAGCTTCCCTGCTTCTAAAGCTTTCAGACTTGGACTGAAGCAGGCTACCAGCACCCCAGGTTCCCAGCTTGCAGATAGACTTGTAGCAGCCCATATAGCCTATGGCTAGGAGAAGTGAGAGTTATAAGAAAGACCTGTAGTTCAATAATGGACCACCTTGGTGAAAAGGGCATGGGGAAGGATTTAGCTCTAGTAACAAGCATGAGAGAGCTCCCGAGATGAGAGCATTGGTGAATTGGCAGTCTCTACACCTGTGGTGTTGACAGGCACAAGATCAGCCTTATATAGGCTAGAGGAGAAGACAGTGGGGAGTGAGCTCATTCTATCACAGACCGGCTTACTCTGACTCTGTCTCTTCTCCTACCTGCAGAACACCAGCATGGCAGGTCTGCTGAAGATTACTAAGCTCTGCTAAAGACTAAGATCTATTCTAAGACTACTTCACTCTCAAAGACACTCTCTCTCTCTCTCTCTCTCTCTCCCTCTCTCTCTCTCTCTTTCCCTTCTGCTAAGGTAAATAGCTCTCAGGCACCTAAGAGCAATTGTTCCTGAGAGAGAGAACAGCATAGCGGTCCGCATCTGGAACACAGCTAGATAGGGCCTTGATAAGTCCTGGGCCTTGATAAGTGGCGTCCACAAAGGGACCCCGACATAGCCTGTTGTGGGATTTCTCAGCTTCCATAATAGTATAAGCCAATTCCTCTAATAAATACCCTTTCATATATCTATTAATCTTTAAGCTAAATTTCTACCTATCTATCCTATTGGTCTGTCTCTCTGGACAACTCTGATAATCCAGTAATCCAACTGTAAAATTGGGCTGGAAAAAAAATTTTTTTTATTGTTTCAGATTCCTTGGGGGTACAAAGAATTAGGTTACACTGATTACATTTGTTAGATAAAGTCCCACTTATAATTGTGTCCTGCCCCCAGATGTAACCATGACCCCCCCCACCCTCCTCTCTTCTCCCCTTTCCCCACTTGCTCATTCCTCTACCCCTCCCTTTGTATTAACTCATCTACTGCCTTCATATTAGAATAGAGTACATTGGATTCTTACTTCTCCATTCTTGTGATGCTTTACTAAGAAGAATGTGTTACACCTCCATCCAGGTTAATACAAAGATGTAAAGTCTCCATCATTTTTAGTGATTGAGTAGTATTCGATGGTATACATATACCCCGGATTGTTAATCCATTTCTGGGTTGGTGGGCTTTAGGCTGTTTCCATATTTTGGTGATTGTAAATTGAGCGATAAACAGTCTAGTGCAAACGTCCTTATATTAAAAGGATTTTTTTCTTTCTGGGTAGATGCCCAGTAATGGGATTGCAGGATCAAATGGGAGGTCTAATTTGAGTTCCTTGAGGATTGTCAATACTTCCTTCCAAAAGGTTGTAGTTTGCAGTCCCACCATCAGCGTAAAAGGGTTCCCTTCTTTCTACATCCATGCCAGCATCTGCAGACTTTGTGATGGGGGCCATTCTCACTGGGTTAGGTGATATCTCAGGGTAGTTTGGGTTTGCATTTCTCTGATTAGGGACGATGAGCATTTTTTCATATGTTTGTTAGCCATTCTTCTATCTTCTTTAGAGAAGGTTCTATTCATCTCTCTTGTCCAGTGACATATGGTATTATTGGGTCATTTTTGTTGATTATTTTGACTTCTCTCTAGATTCTAGTTATCAAGCTTTTGTCAGATTCATAATACGCAAATATCTTTTCCCATTCTGAAGGTTGTCTTGCTTTGGTTGTTGTTTCCTTAGCTGTGCAGAGGCTTTTCAGTTTAATTAAGTCCCATTTGTTTATTTTTGTTGTTACTGCAACCGTCACAAAAGTTTTCTTCATAAAATCTTTCCCTGACCTATAGCTTTAAGTGTTTTCCCCACACTTTCTTTGAAGATTTTTATCGCTTCATGCCTTATATTTAAATCTTTTATCTACCTTGAATCAATTTTTGTAAGTGGTAAAAGGTGCAGATCCAGTTTCAGTCTTTTACATGTGGTTATCCTGTTCTTTTACATGTGGTTATCAACACCATTTATAGAATAGGGATTCTTTTCCCTAGTGTTTGTTCTTGTTTTGTTTATCGAAGATCAGGTGACTGTAAGATATTAGTTTCATCTCATGGTTTTCTATTCAGTTTCAAATGTCAGTGTCTCTGTTTTTATGCCAATACCATGCTGTTTTGATCACGATGGCCTTGTAGTATAGCTGAAAGTCTGATAAGGTGATACCCCTGGCTTTGTTTTTACTACTAAGAATTGTGTTGGCTATATGGGGTTCTTCTGGTTCCATAAAAAATGAAGAATTAGGGTGGCATCTGTGGCTCAGTGAGTAGGGTGCCAGCCCCATATACCAAGGGTGGCGGGTTTGAACCTGGCCCCAGCCAAACTGCAACAAAAAAAATAGCTGGGTGTTGTGGTGAGCACCTGTAGTCCCAGCTACTCAGGAGGCTGAGATAAGAAAATTACCTAAGCCCAAGAGCTGGAGGCTGCTGTGAGCTGTGACAGTACAGCACTCTACCAAGGGTGACAAAGTGAGACTCTGTCTCTAAAAACAAACAAACAAAAAACGAAGAATTATTTTTTCCAAATCTTGGAAGTAAGATGGTATTTTAATGGGGATTGTATTGAATCTATAGATCACTTTGGGTAGTATAGACATTTTAAGAATGATGATTCTTCCCAGCCATGAGCATGGTACATTCTTCCATTTGTTACTATCTTCTGAGATTTCTTTTCTTAGAGTTTCATAATTTTCTTTGTAGAGTTCCTAACCTCTTTTCTTATGTATATTCCTAGGTATTTCTTTCTTTCGTTCTTTCTTTCTTTCTTTCTTTTTTTTTTTGAAGCTGCTGTGAAGGGAATTGTGTCCTTGATTAGTTTCTCATCTTGGCTGATATTGGCATATACAAAAGCTACTGATTTGTGGACATTGATTTTATATCCTGAGACATTGCTGTATTTTTTTTATCACTTCCAAGGAGTCTTGTGGGTTGAGTCTTTGAGGTTGTCTATGTACAAGATCATATCGTCAGCAAAGAGTGAGAGTTTGACCTCCTCTGCATCCATTTGGATGCCTTTTATTTCTTTCTCCTCCCTGATTGTATTGCCAAGAACTTGTAGCACTATGTTGACTAGTAGTGGCTATGGAGGACAACTTTGTCTGTTTCCACTTATAAGTGGAAAAGCTTTCAGTTTGACTCCATTCAATATGATGTTAGTTGTGGGTTTGTTGTAAATGGCTTCGATCAGATTCATAAATGTGCCACCTATGCCTATATTCTTAAGTGTTCTAATTAGAAAATGATGCTGAATTTTATCAAATGCTTTCTCTGCATCTATTGGGAGGATCATATGGTCTTTGTTTTTGCTTCTGTTGATATGGTGAATTACATTTATGGACTTGCATATGTTAAACCAGCCCTGCATCCCTGGGATGAAACCTACTTAATCATGATGAATGGTTTTCTTAATGTGTAGCTGTAATGTATTGGCTAGGATTTTATTGAGAATTTTTGCATCTATATTCATTAGTGAAATTGGTCTGAAGTTCTCTGTTTTAGTTGGATCTTTTCCTGGTTTTGGCATCAGGGTGATGTTTCCTTCATAGAACATGTTGGGGAAGATTCCTTCTTTCTCAATTTCTTGGAGTAATTTCTGCAGTATGGGCATAAGCTTGTCTTTGAAGTTTTGATAGAATTCTGGTGTGAAGCCATCTAGACCAGGCCGTTTTTTTTTTTTGTTTGGAGATTTTTTATTGTTTCTTTGATCTTGAAATCAGTCTGTTCAAGAGTTCTATTTCTTCTTGTTTAGGTTTAGGGAAAAGGTATGATTCCAGGGTGTGATCCATTTCCTCCATGTTGTCAAATTTCTGGGCATAGAGTTTCTTGTGGTACTCAGAAATGATCTCTTGTATCTCTGCAGCATCTGTTATTTCTCTTTGTTTCTGATTGAGATTATTAGAGATTTTACTTTTCTGTTTCTAGTTAATCTGGACAAAGGTTTAACAATTTTATTTATTTTTTTGAAAAACCAACTTTTTGTTTCTTGAATTTTCTGAATGATTCTTCTGTTTTGAATTTCACCAATCTCTGATTGAATTTTGGTTATTTCTTTTCCTCTCCTGGGTTTGGGATTTTTTTTTTTTTTCCAATTCCATAAGATGGTTCATGAGTTTGTTGATGTGAATTTAGGCATCTAATGCAATAAATTTCCCTCTTAAGACTGCTTTTGCTGTATCCCACAAGTTTTGGTAACTTGTGTCTTTATTGTTGTTATATGAGGAATTTAAC